ATGAGCAAGGAGCTCCAATATTCCGAGATCAGGATTATGGAGAGCAAAGAGCGCTTCTGAATCCAGTATTATCTTTACAGACTAAGTTATTGCATTGTTTTGAAAATTTTGTTGCATCATTTCGTTGTATAAAGTCAGCTGTAATTGAAGATGATGAACTAACAACGATCTCAGAGATTCATTCAGGAGCACGTCTAAATGGCAATATCCAATTTAAAAACCACAATCTACAGCTTAAGATTGCCAGACACCAAACAGACACAAAATCCAAAAATCATACTACAAGAGAATGGAATGTTGATTGTTATGATTCTACCATTGATGTCCGACAATTTAAACATTGTATCATTAATGCTCCAAGTTCACCGTACGGAGATGCCTTCCTTTCATTAGATCAGCCAGGCACCGAGTATTCAAATGAAGTTCATCAATATAAACTGACAAAAAAGTCGGTCAGTCAAGAGATATATCAACAAGAGCGTAAAAAATCAGCCTCGGAAAATGATTTTTTCATTCTCTTTACAACTGCAGAAAATTGTAAGATAGAGCTTCCAAAACGGTCTGGGATTGTAGATGGAAATGTTTTTAGAGACTATTTTGGGCCATTTGCCGGCAAGAGCATACAAGTCTGCTATGGCTAAGTCCAAAACTCCAATCTGCAATCAGGTCAAGAATATTCATACCATTTCTTTTGGGCAACTGTGCAGAGTGAATCAAATTAAAAAAGAGCGATCAAAAACAATCATATCAAAAAGATCATTCTAAAATGTCGAATATATGAACTTAAAATCAAACAACACTAACAAATTCGTTGGAGAATTATTATTTTTGAAAAGTCCTTACAAAAAAATCAATTTTATCCATTTTCGGGTTTACTGTGCAGCATTACTTCGTCTCATGTAATCATATCCCTAGTGTGACTCTTATTATCTGAGAAAATAACTTTACTGAGGCAAAAGACCCAGAATAAATTTCATGGAATTCGTTACTTCCCAGTTATATATTTTTGGCCTTTCCACATTTTACATTTAAAACTAGCAATTGCAGATATGGACGGCTTCACTGCCTAATTGAGATTGTTATATTTTACTTATAAATAAATGATCCAAATTAAGATTTAGATCATATTTAACAAAGTTATACCATTACTGACCAAAAATTCAATGAAAATGAGAGTTAGATATTCACAGTTAATTTTGTGAATGTGGTTAAAGATGCGATTCGTAATCCGATATTATGTATCACTTTATAGAAAATCACTTTATAGACATCTCATTTCAAAGACAATCAATTCATAGACAAATTTGTTTTAAAGGCAATTAATTTACAGACAGTTCATTTCATAAACAATTCATTTTATCGCCAGTTTATTTTATAGATAATCATTAATAGCAATAACTCCCGAATCAGCATTTAAGATTGTCCATAAAATAAACTGTCAATAAAATTAATTATCTTTAAAATAAACTTGTCTATGAATTGATTGTCTGTGAAATGAGATGTCTATAAAGTGATTTTCTATAAAGTGATACGTAACCGTCATCCTATTTTTATTTAAAAATGACTTTTACTAAAGCACACCTATGGGGGTTTACATCTATATGTATATTATTTCAAAAACTGGCTAATTAATCAGTACCTGGTGTTTTAAGTAAAAATCTTCTACATCCCCAAAAACCATACACAAACCTGACCTTAACCTTGAATACTAACCCTAATTTGAAAAAATTTAAAAATTTTATATATAAAACATAAAAACTTAGAAAATCTAAAAAAAACTTAATGAAAACAACATAATAGATGCAAAACCACCATAATTACGTTTTATAATAACTGTTAAAAAATTTAACGAATATTTGAATATCTGGAAACGGTCCGGTCGCATTTTTGCTAGACGACGTTATGTGAGCTATATTTCTTGTGTATATGGGTCATGTACTTCGCGAATATAATTTTATATCAAAACATTTAACAATATACTTTTTGAATTTATTTAGTCAAAAGTCCCTAAGTATTAAAATAATACAGTAATTAGTCGTGAACGTGCAAAAAAAATTTAGAACCCAATAATTAAAAAATTTCAAGCTTTTTAATTTTTAATACTATATATTACACAACGTATATTATACCTCATACTATACTACTTTAGGTGATACCTGTAGTTTGCGAATAGTAACTTTAACCAGTTTTGGCAATACCAATTGAATACGTAAATCGAATCACTTATAGTTTAGAGTAATAGTCTTAAAAACTTGGATTTCACAAAAAATCAACATAAATTTTTTCTAGAGCTAGATCTACTTTTAATTTATTGATAGTAGATTTTCTTTCCTTAAAGGTGTTCACTTTTATAAAGTTTTTATGTGTTATCCATTTTCGAACAATATAGCATAAAATTTGATTCAACAGTTTTTAGCCATTTCTTTTGTTATAAGAAACTTGTAGCCTTTTAATAAGATCAAGCGCCTACACGTAATCTATCAACTCATCGGTTTCAAATGTAATTATATTCATTTCAAAGTTCATTGTAGCTGTTGTATTCTTTATTTATGAATTCTTGATAAATATATTTTCAAAATTTCCTTATCCTATGGTAACTTATTTACTTATTTCTTTTTACGTTTCATTTACTGTATATTCTTCATTTAAACAATCTAATTATTATTTCTACTTTTAAGCAAATTAGTAAAAATTGTATATGCTAATCCATTTTGATACTGGAAAGATCTCAAATTTCATTTTAATTTAATTTCATTATGATACGTGATAAAATGGGTTTTCAATTTTTGGCCAACATTAAGGAAAAAATAAAGCAGTTTCGAAATATCCTAAATTGAAAAATGGAATGGACATAAATTGCGAGTAAAATTAAGACCAGAATTCGAGATCTTTCCAGTATCAAAATGGATTAGCATATACAATTTTTACTAA